AAAAGCAACCGACACAATTCCATGCCCGTTATGTAGCAGTTAAAACTAATCTCCTAATGACATAGCACAACAGAACTATGGTACTAGCATGCTTCGCAGACACTGCTGCAACGCAGGCTACAGAACTAGACAAAGCATATCATTCGAAGCGAATGTTTCTTTCTTTTTATTGGCCAAGAGCCCACCACGTGACCTGCAAATAACTGCTTACAAATAATGGTCTGCTCATGCGCAATGTCGTCAAAATGTGTTTGGCTGCAAATAATTTTCTCCTCATGCGTAAAATAAACCACGCTTTTCTCCTTGCGATCGCTCTTGCGTGAAAATGGTTGATCGCTTCGCTTCCCGGGGTTATTCATTAAAAGACAAAATCGGTGATCGAATGATAAAACAGTTACTGAACTCGGTTTTCGGTAAATATCGTGATATGTCATCGTCTCGGAGATCAGTTATTTGCCTCAGCCTTCGGCCTCGGCAAATAATAGATCTGCTCGCCACTGACAAATCACAATAGTTTGCTTAGCCTCGTCCAATAGTTTCTTCAATATGTGGACAGTCGACGTCTCAATACTGTGGTTCAACAAGAGGTTATCCTAACACAAACTGCATTCCTTTAGAAGACAGAGTCGACTAAGCATAATCTGAAGCGCGCTTAGAATTAAAGAAACGTCAAAAATAGAAAGACTTTTACTTCATCACGTTGTTTTCATTCATTGTTTTTTCCATCTTACCTTTGTAGGATCAAGAGACCAAAGCTTAATTCTTGAATGCCTCAAGACTGTCAAGGTGCCAAAGTTCGAACCCAAATCAGGTATAACCTTTTTTTTTAAGGGAGGTCTCCCCCACGGGTGCCCTTTTGAGAGAGGCACGTTAACCGCGTTACCCGGGTAAAATTGTGATTTTCGTGTGCGGCTTTACTATAAACTAGCTTTTGTTTATCGTGTTTGACGGATAAACACACCATTTAACCCCTGCTAACTCGCCAGTAACTTTTGGTCCAAATTTTTCTTGCACTTGTCGGAATTCCATTTTTATTGCTCAACCTTCACTTTTCTTTTTTGCAAACAATGACTGCTGGGTGAAAGGTGAAACCAGCTTTGATCCTCAGCCGTTTCTATGAGAGCAAATTTCTCCGTAATTTCCTCTTGAAATACACAAACGTCCAGAAATGAACAAATAATTTCTTATAACCTGCGATCAGGCGGTCCTTCTTCCCTTTTTGTTTGAAAAAACAACAACAACAACAACAAAAACGCCTGATCGCAGGTTAAATTTCTTATAATTTACTTTTCTGCAGATCGATAAGAAAGGATTCCTGTCACCAGTAGCCACTTAACTTGTTGTCGTTCCATCGGGTAAAAACTCTAAGCGTCGCGCTTGCCCAAAAAAAGTGCAGCATGCCCTGTGAGGCATCTGAAATTCACTTCCTTATCCCCAAGAAATTATCCGTGATAAAAGTTGTTTTACTTTCTCCAGGCGTAAAGATCGCAGTTACCGATGAGGAGGCAGCACAGGAAAACTCTGGAGGCCTAGGTAATTGTTTCAGTAGTTCAAAGTATCTTAAGTGTTACATTTTGTGTCTAGGCTGTTGGTTTGGTGTTAGGTGTTAGGCGTCCAATGATCGATTGTTCTTGTGAGAAACACTTTTCAGGAAAATCCAGTTTATGTAAGGGATGTTTGGACAAACATAAAGCAAACCTGTCCGATTAGATATCATGACTAATTTTAAAGGGTACCGTTTTTCCCTCAACGAAGGTTACTATTCGACTGTTTGGCGGTGTCCTAGAGCTGAAATTGCACCGAAATTTTTACAAATTTTACAAGGAGTCAATACACTATTTGTTATTAAGAAAGTATAGTTATTGGTTGTTAAAAGGCATGTTTTGTTCATTTCTAGAGGGAGATGACGTTGAGCAGATAAAGAGCTCTCTACCAACACCACACAAACTGGCAGGCTTCAAAATGGCACCTGCTGATTTTGAAAAGGTGCGTTCTTTATTTTGCCTTTCAAAGAAATAATTCGCTTCCAGGAGCAACGCAGTCCTTTTAAATCTATAATTTAATGTTCGCTTTTTAAACTACTGAGCCATACGTTCATGAAGTGGTGATGAACGAACAGTACTTTCGTTTGGGTTTTATTTTATTCTTTTTGTGCTTTAGACAATAATCCATTTACAAATTAGCTGTAGCCTCGTTTTCGAAGCGAGTCCCGATGCTCGTCCTTTCACACGCCACTTGCACTTCTCCCATAGTGTACCTTATTTACCCCCAAAATTTTGCATAATCTCTGTTTTTCATTTCTTCTGGGTATTACAGCCGTCCCGCGTATGCGAAAATATCTTTCCATTCTCGCGCAAATGAAACGCATGCTCTTGTGAATAATTGTGCACCACTGCAGGGTTGGAAAAACGTTCTATCCACTAGTCCGGGGCAAGTAGTATTTCTTGCTGGGCAGGTGACTTTTATACCTCAGTTGACCAATGGACAAGAGTCAGGCAAGTCATTCTCTAACAAAATCATTAACTAAGACAAGTAAGAAGTGGCCCTGGTCAAGCAAATGTGGGGGCTACTTGCCCAAACGACAAGCTTGAATTCAAGTTTTTTTTTCCAGCCCTGACGAGGACTCGTCTTGAGAAAGAGGCTCAGAGCAACTCGGAAATGTGCTATTCAAAAGGAACATATCGAACCGATGGTTTGTTTGCTTGTTATTAATTCTGAAATATGCGTGATAAATCCTCTCATTGATCTGTTAAAGGATGATGACACAAATTTCCACATGGATTTCATCGTGGCAACCTCCAATCTGAGGGCAGCTAACTACGACATCGCGCCAGCTGACAGGCACAAGGTATCTTACCCTATCCCCAGAGAAAAAATAGACGTCGTTCACCTCGTCTCCAGGCTCTCTCTTCTTCCCGTTCCGTGGAGCTCCTGAGGAAGGAAGAGAGGCCCTGAGAACCAGGTTGTAACTTGCCCAAAGAAACGTATTACACAGTGATGTTTTTTGTTTGTATTTTTCTTTGCTTGTTTTTCTGTTTGTGATAAATGGAAATGGAAATTTATATTAATATATCACAGTCTAGTCTGCAAAACAACGAATATCGGTTTATTTAAGGCGTCCATATGTGACTTTCGCGCGAAGCGCGCTAGTTTCACACGCCCCTGCGTCTCTTCCTAGTCTCCCATTTTGTTGTCACCCACGCACCTCAACTTTTATTTGACCGCTTCTACGTTCTGAACCTGCGCATAAAATCAGGGCTGGTGACATTCTAACTCGAAAAATAGAAATTCTGAGTTCCCAACGGTAATCGAGCCCTTGAACTTCTAGCATCTGGTTGTTTTTTATTTTATTTTCCCATTATTATTTTATTTGATTACCAGTATGTTGTTATTCTTCCCGTAGAGTAAGCTAATTGCCGGCAAGATTATTCCCGCCATTGCTACCACAACTGCTTTGGTCAGCGGACTGGTGGCTCTAGAATTGTACAAGGTGGGTACTTGATTTGAACCTCTCATATCGTCAGAAAAAATTGACAAAGCAAATGAAAGTTTCAGAAGCACTTTTCATGAGCTTTTATTTGAATGGTCACACTGTATACCATTGCATATTCGCAGCCTCCAAAGTTAGAACTGCGTACAAAATAAATACGGTCATCTGAAAGTACTGCTGAAGAAGTTCACTTGAATAGTCACACCATAGGATTTTATCCGCAGGCTAAAAAGTTAAACTACATATTGATGCCGGTAGGGAAATGGTTCATCCTTTACCCGTCAATGACATCTCGGCTTTTTTATTCAATTTGACGAACAGATTGTTCAAGGCAACAAGAAACTGGAGACCTACAAAAACGGATTTATCAATCTTGCTCTGCCTTTCTTCGCTTTCTCTGAGCCTATCAAAGCACCGGCGAATAAGGTAAGAATACTTTTAAAATTCATTTGTTTGCATTGACGGTCATTGAAGAGGGAATTTTAGACAAATTTGGTTGTTTCTGTCCTAAACTCTGCGAAATTAGTAAAGATAAACGACAACCCATACTGCAAAACTGGTGCTATTGTTGCCTATAGTGTTGCGCAACATTAGGTCTACAGTACGTATTGACAAGTAGAAGTTCACTGTTTTCCTATGCGTGCCAGTCAGGGGAAAGGAGCGATATTCAATGTTGAGGCTGGCTGTCAAAATGGAAGCCCCTGGATACTCCAGGCATCCAACCTTCATCAAGCGATGGGTTGTTAACTGGAATTAAACGTTTTTAATTGTTTTTTTCAGTATTACGACGTAGAGTTCACGCTCTGGGATCGGTTCGAAGTGAACGGTTTGAATGAAGCTGGCGAAGAGATGACTTTGAAACAACTGTTCGACTACTTCCAGGTAATAACTTAAGTACTTCAATTGGTTTGGCTGTCACTGAGATTATACGACACCGTATTACGATACCTCTGAATGGCATCGATGTTAGTCCATGGCAGGGTTAACCCCAGCATTATGTCGCCGGTACACATTTATACATCAGGCCCTGGTTGTTCAAACGTTGGATAGTGCTTTCCACTGAATAAATTACTCACCAGCGGATAGGTATTGTGAAAACTAATTGTGAAATCCACTGAATAAAGATTTATCCAGTGGACAGCGCTATCCAAAAAGTGGGGCCTCAGTGGAGAGAGAAAACGCGTCGAAACGTTTCTTGGCTAAGGAAACAGTGATATGGGGACTCTTGAACACAGACCTACTGATCAAAAGTCTAATGTATCTGTTGTAGTTAATTTTTTATCTCAGGTAATTTTACAGATCAAAAGTCTAATGTATCTGTTGTAGTTAATTTTTTATCTCAGGTAATTTTTATTTTTCTTTTGTTTCAACTTCATTTGCATACAATGCCATACCCCAAAGCAAAAAAAAAAACGAAAATTAGCTGGGAAGAAAAATTAACTGCAACATATCCACCCACTTGGTCACTATGTCTCCTTTTGCTTTTCTTTCTCTTTTTGTGTCTTATTCTCTTAAGAATTTGTTGTTTTATTTTCAGAATAAGCACGAACTTGAAATCACGATGATTTCCCAAGGCGTCTGCATGTTGTATTCGTTCTTTATGCCTCCTGCTAAGATGAAGGAAAGACTAGCCATGAAGTATGTTGGTAGCCATTGCTTGTGTTACCCAGCCACAATTTCAATAGCCTATGAATATTTTTTCCCCAAACAGAGAGCCTGTTCACAGGCTACAATTTCAAAAATATTAAACTCTTGGTGTTTCCTTATATAACCCTGTTACAAAATTTATGCAAGTAAATCTCAGTGTACTGCTGGCTTGCACTTGACGTCAGGGCGGTCATGTTGGTAGTCAAAAACAAAAGCTTTTTTCTCCTTTGGCAACTAAACTCCATTTTCATGTAAATTCTTCAAGAAAAAATATATCCATTGTATTTACCCCCAACATGGCCGCCATGTCACGTGGTTTCAAACCAAGAATTCGCCACTTTTAAAACGCGAAAGAAACTGGTGCGAATTAACTTTCGCAAAGGCTTCTGGTACAGTCACGAGGGACGGGAAAAAAAATGGCCGATGGCTTCATTTTACTACTACGACCATAATCCTTTTCTTTTCCCTTTCATATTTAAATTTGATAATCCTAGCGAGGTTTAAGTAATGATCCGGGTAAGGTGGATAGCAACTTCTTTTGTTATGCGGCAACGGTGCTTTCCCACGGAGGAATGTTCTAATGTTTACACAGAGAATACATAAACCTACATAAAGGCCGTTTACCCAATAAAATGTATTTACACTCCACTTTGAAAGGGTGTTTTTTGTGTTAAAAGATTTTGACCAATCACAAGAGTTGAAAACAATAGCCGAGAAAAGTTTACAATTTTACATGTTCCCCACATAGGATTTCTTTGTTATTCAAACTGAGACCAGATTTTGTTATATGGAAGATGGTTGGAAAGTAAGGATGAATATATGTACTGCTTTATAAAGTTTTGTTAACTTTTGCTGCTTAAGCCAATCAGAAGTAAGTACAGACCATAGAAAAGTTAGCACCTTTTTTGCATTCCAACATGTTCGTTGCCGTTGTTGCTATCGTTCTTATCTGGACCGTTTCTTAAACAACGAAAGACCTAATTTGCACAGGTAAGCAAAACCCTGAAGGATTCTAGTTGTAGTTGTAGTAAAATGTCGTCATAGTGCAAATGACCAATCGCTGGCCGGCGCGTGCCCTGTAAGGGTCCCAGAAGTAATTGCGGGACGCATTTCGGCTCCAGTTCCTTTCTTGCTTCTGAGTTGGCGAGTTGTTGCTGGGAGGGTGAGGCGTTTATTCGGGCGTTGCTGAATATTATTCTTGCTCCAAAGAGCGGCGCTATTTAAGTTAATATAGTGCTATTCATCGTATTGTTTTTTGTTTACCTTCCTGTAGGGTGTCTGAAGCGGTTGAGAAAATCTCCAAGAAAAGAATCAAGCCCTACGTTAAAGCCCTCGTCCTCGAGTTGTGCTGCAATGACAAGGAGGGAGAAGATGTCGAGGTCCCGTATGTTCGTTATCGCTTCCGGTAAACTCGACATCGGGGGTTCCAAATTTTAGTTACCAGTCGTACGACATGTGTCTTGGAGAAAGTAACTAATAGATAGAAAGTAAATTCGATTGACTGCGGCTAAAAGCCTTTGTGAGAATTTTATTTCTAGTACAATTTTTTTCTCTAGTTACTCAGCAACTATGTAAAAGTACCTTTCCTTTATTAAAGAAATTGACGTGCAACAGTTGTTTTATCTTTTCAAGAGCTTTCACCTCTGGTGTTGCCTCGGGGTAGGGGGAGACCTTCGATTGGCATGTGTTGGGTGCAATGATTGGAAAGATTGAAATTCAAAATACCCGAACTTTCTGCAAAGAATATGAGGCAAGCCTGAAGTTTTTCAGGCTTTCTTTTTGCATCTCAGTAAGTTGCGACTTTAACTGCGAAGATCTTCTCTTCATTGATTTCTTCATTCCGCGGTTCAAACATACGAAATTCCATGTATTCATCATCTCAGAAGTGGAAGTGCTGATCATATTTTGTGATTAACAAATAACATCGTGGCCACAGGCAACAACACTGATTCCAAGACGGAGAAAAACTTGGGGCTAAGCTGATCCGGATCAGATTAGACTGCGAGTAGTCTCTCTTTTTCTCCAGATTAAGTGAGGAGAGTGCACGTGCGTGGGGGAAGGGAGGGGTGGGAGGAGTCGTAACGCCCCAAGGTGTAATGGAAAACCCAATCGGATCTTCATCTTGACGGAATTAAACAACTTGCAGTTAATAAAGCACTGGATTGCAGAGCGGATGTCACGGGTTGATCTCCGGGGCCAGGAGCTCATGGGCTCCTGCCGGGTCTGGATCAATGCCCATGCTGAAAGGTAAAGGTGCTGTAGACAGCTGATGCTCGGATGACCATTTTTAAAAGGCGACCACAGTATGCAGGGGCGCAACGAAGCTCTCAAGACTACTTGCCTAACTAGCTCATTAATGACCCAAACGATATCGCTGTCACTGACAAAAACAGCAAAAAGAAAAACATCGTATAGCAGATGTGTTTTATGTTAATGTCTACTACCATCACAAGCACCGTACCACTCTCACTCGATCTGCGATTCTGACTTCAGCCGTACCCTTCCCTCGGGCAAACATCAATGCAAGAAATCTCGATCTTTCTTGAGGAGATAAGGCGGGCGGCTCAGTACCAGCTGTACACAGGCCTATAGCCTGCTGCAGGATGATAAAGTAGTGCAGTCATTCAGTAAAGAGTGACGCGAAAAATGCGAGGGCGCTCCAAGATAGTAGAGAGATTAAGATTCACGTTTACGCCAAACGGCAAACGTCAGATTCAAGTTGAGAATCTCTCAGAATAAAAAATAAGCCGATAAAAACTGTCCAGAACAACTCTTATGGATAAAAATGGCGTGAAAATGCTTATTTTTTTTGAAGAACTAATAAACAGTAAACGACAATTAAAGGGAAAACTTGGTCACGTGGTACAAATTCACGTTTGCCGTTTGGCGTAAACGTGAATCTTAATCTCTCTAATACACCGGGTGTGACTCGAGACAGAATACTTTTGTCTTACATGACGTGTTGATCAATGGAAGAACAAGTTTGACCGAGAGGTCCTGGGAAATAACTAACAAAATGGCGGGCCTTGGAGTGTCATGCTGAATGAAGTGTTCAGCGTTTTAAAGTATGCTACTGCCATCGTTTCGGCTCAATGCGCAGCTTTTATCTGTGCAAGTGCGACTGTGAAGCATCGACAAACGAAACGTGATATGTCGGTACTAAAAAAACTGAACAAGAAGCAAGAAGACGATCCAGAAAGGTGAGTAAGCTTAAGTGCGTTGTAACTTACTTCCTGCCTTTCGGCAGCTGGCGGCAGTCTGATCCCCTCGTTGTAATACACATAATGTTCACGAATGTATTTTAAGTCCTGGAATGTTCGAGTGGACGTCAAAACCAGTAGGATCTGCCATTTTACCCGTTCTAACCTTCCTTGTACAATGTAATTCGTTTATTTTTTCTGTTTCTGAACAACTAAAATAACTCCGCGCTTATATAGGCTTTATTATTGTCAAATGCTCCTTGCTTTCTTGAAAGTTCACATCATCATTCTGTGTTTCATCCCTTTCACGGGTTAAGATAAACTCAACAAATTGCCCTGCTCTCACTGTATGGGTCTTCATGTTATGAAGCGCAGAAGATGTTTACGGAACTCTACCCAGAACAAGTTTATTGAACTGCCACCAAATACTGAGACTAGAATAGTTATTTCTGTAGAACTGTAAAGGACTGGAATGCGTTATGCATGGTTCAATTTGACCTGTTACCAAAACCCCCATCCCTTATCACTACCATCCATACGTCATCCCAGCTTACCCCTGCCCTCACCCCCTACCCCTCGCCCATTGCCATTGATACTCTATCACACAGTCAGCTACTGGACCGCGCTGACCTGGATACTACTTTTTTTAGCAAATTTTAACTCATCCTATGACATTTTATTTTACTGTATTTGGTTAAAAACAGTATCTAAAGGAACATGAACATAGGAGGTGACCAAAATAACAAAAGAAATGAATCAATAACATTGGCGAACAAATAATCGTTATATATATTTGGAAACTGGTGGAAAAGGTTACATATGTTTGGGAAATTAATCTTTCTTTGACAATGATGTATGCAGACTCTGTGTCATTTCTCACCTCTACTGATGATCGAATTCAGTAGTATTCGTCAATGTTTGGCTTTCCCTGGACAAATCCATTTGGTGCATTCTCTATGGTATATAAAAAAATGAGTGCTCTGCTATTGCTTAGGGTCTATAATCACGATGTCGGCTTGTAACTGGTTCAAGTCCACAAGGTTTGTTTAGATATTCCGGATGCACTTCTCACTATATGTTTCATGAACGTGTCTTGTGATGTGCAAATCAGCCAGATCAGCTAAGAAATGGTATGAAATGTGCTTGTGCATTGACTGACTGTGTCTTTAATAAAATCTGTTTCGTTTTCACTTACAGCACTCAACAATGTCACTTGTATGTGGAAACAAATGCCAACCAGTGGCCTATAGTTTACTCTGATGACTACAACATTGGTTTTCTTGGATTAGAAAGGCTTCACCCTTTTGATTCTGGGAAATGGGGAAAAGTTTTTCAGCACCTTAAAGGTATAAGCATTAGTTAGGTACATAGATTGGTCTTTAAAACATCCGATAATTCTCTTCAGGCATATAATTCAGTCAGAATCTTATGGTCTACATTGTAACTGGTCATAATTATTGTCCGGGTGAGAAGAGATATTTCCAGAAACCAATAAAAATAGTACAAATCAAAGACATATGATTTGATGTCTGTTACTGTTTGGCTTACCACATCAAACATTATTGTCAGGCAAGCTAAAATTCTCAAAGATAATTTTTAAATATGTTTTTTTCATTTTGATATAAATTATATTATTTTTTTGTTGCTGTGTAAATTAGAATATTACGGTATTATTATGGTGGTTTTCAATCAGTATTTTATTTAAAGGTTGCCTGGAAAAAAGTCCCAGTTGAGTTCTGATTAATGGCTCGATTCCTTCCAAGTGAATGTTGCTTGTGAATCAAAAGGCGCTTTGATATTAGAGCATAAGTCATGAAGAGCTTCAAATTAATTTGTTCCATGCACCCCTCTTTAATATTGCTGTTGTGGTCTTTATTTGCATTTTTTTAAAGTTCCTCCACAGCTTTTGGTTAAACGTATTTAAACCTAGTTTTAGTCATCAGACACTTCTATACCCAATGTACAGCCATGTACATTAAAAATAAAATAATTGATTATTTTTTTCTTTTAAAAGGTGTCTGATCCATTTTTTGAATTTTTAAGTGAAAATTGAACAAATTTTTGTCATAGAAGCCAAGATGGTGAATGAGGACAGTGTTGTAGTCCCAAGAGAAGCTACTCAAGAGGATTTATTGGTTGTACACACCTCAGATTACTTAGATAGCTTAAGGGTAAGCAAAGATGTTAATCTTAGCACATCCAAAAATCTTGAGAATTGTTCGTTCCTTTAGCCTTATGACAAGACCAGACACTGTTTATTGAGAGTTTTGTACATGTATCATACAGATTTAAACATTGGCCATTCTGAAAACCACCTCCATGAGTCAGTCAACTCTCTCCAAGATGGACACCTTTGGGACCGGCACTAAGTGTCCGTCTTAGAAAGATGTCTGTCTAATAAAGAGTCAAATAACGGGAATAAGCAAAGGCCGGGACCAACTCCAGGTGTCCGTTTTACAGAAGTGTCCGTCTTATAGAGGTCGTCGTTAAGAGAGAGTCGACTGTAGTGCCCCTTATTTAAAGATTATCAATATTAATTGTTTATTATTATTACACTTGTACCATCCAAATAACTTGAAGTTACGAAATTAGTTAAATGTTACAATAACTTAAAGTTACACTTGGGTAATATTAAGGATCCCAGACTGTAGCTGTACTATAATTTTCTTGCAGCACAGTAGAGTCTAGACCAGATACCTCAGACCTTCATTATGCACTAGCTAGGCTTCTACTGTATACAGTCCAAAAATTAATGCTTGCACAAAAACTTTTTGCATTTGCAAGCTGGCAAATTCTTGCGGCTCCTTGCAGGGTGCTTATGTTTGAATTCTTCAAGACACAAGAACTTCTTTGCAGTTATAACTTAGAACTGCAAGAAGTACTAATAAATCAGGCCTCTTAATTTAGATCCTTTCTTCTCTCTTCTCAGAACCAAGTTGTCTTGGGCTGGACAGAGTTTTCCATCCCCTATTTTTATTAGAACCAACTACTACATTATATATTCATGTGATTAGAACTAACTACTGTTTTTTTTTTGTTGTTTCTTTTTTTGTGTGTGTTTTTTTTTCATCCTTGCTGAAAATTTCATGTGTAAGAAGACAAGCAAGTCAATCACAGAAATCCAGATCAACTATTTTGACCTGGTCAGAAGTCTGGTGCATTTCTACTAGTCTCACTATATATGCCAGCCATGTCTGCACACCAACTTAAAATGAATTAGTTGTGATATTCATGTAACTTGAATATGCTGTTTTCTTTTGTTAATAGTGGAGTGCTAATGTTGCCATGATATGTGAGGTGCCTCCTGTTGCCCTCCTGCCAAACTTCATTGTGCAAAGGAAGGTTCTTAAGCCCATGAGAATACAGACTGGAGGATCAATACTGGTACGTGTGTAAATAAAGCTCCATTTAAGAGTAGTGTTCAAATTTTCCTGTGCATACTGTGATCTCAGTTGCAGCAGGACTAGCTCAGTCGGTAGAGCACTTGAGTGCAGAGCAGGAGGTCGCAGTTCAATTCCCAGGACCTGATCAATACTCAGGGTCTTAAAATAACTGAGAATGCAAAGTACCGCCTTTGCCCTGCAAATGGCTAGACCTTTGCATGGACATAAAGTGGCGGTCCGGTCTCAAGTAGGAGAAATTGATATAGTTACCCCAATTAGTACTTCTGTGCTAAAATCCATTCACAATCAAATAAAGTGCATTTTTTATGCGTTGTTTTTATCCAGGTTTTATCATAATAAATCTTTGCTTGTAATAATTTGATTTTTCCATTAAAGAAATATTGTGTCATCTCTTTTTTGTTTACATGCATCTTTGCATCTGTTATGGCTCATTCAATTCTCAATCCATGTATTCAACTATTATTTCTTAATTTATACTACTACCGGAGAAATTTCTGCAATTTGATTGGCTAAGAGCAGTGGTATTTCAGCTTAATTTGAAATACCTACCTGTGAAAGTTACAAACCTTTTGTGGGTAGTACTTAGTATAAACAAATAATAGCATGATTTGTACGTGATATTTGGCATAATTACCACTTGTGATATTTCAAAATTGTCGCAAATTTCACTCTTGGTAGTTATGCCAAATATCACTACAAATCATGTTATTACCTATACTCATTCTATGATAATTTATTCTTGCATAGGCAGCCAAACTTGCAGTAGAGAGAGGCTGGGCAATTAACATTGGTAATATTATGAAATAAAACAACTTTAATTGTGCTATATTATTTGGCTAATGTGTTTGTTTGTTAATTTGAGACTGAAGTTTGCAAAATAATTTTGGTGTTATACAGAGTGGAAGCTCTACTTGTGAGCTGACACTAAAGTGCCCGTACTGTAACTGGAGCTGGCCACTTACGGGAATGTAAAAATACAGAGTTTGTATTGGAGTTGTCAAGAAAGATGGGGTTTTGTGAAGGTGGCCAGAAGTAGAGCTTTCCACTAATGAGAGTGTCCATAAGGAGAGCTTCCAGGGCAGAGTGTGCAAGAAGTTATTTATATTATCTAATTCAGCTTTAGTCTACGATTAGAATTTTAAAGCTTTATAAACTTTAGCTCTATGTGGCTGAGACCAGGTTATGTTTAGCCGTATACGCTGTATTTTGCAACTCTGTTCCAGAGAAGGCACCCAAAACCTCTAACCTTATTTTAGACTAGCAATAAACCAGGAAATCTATTTATTTGTCTGTGATATGTGTGAGATAATTTAATACATGTATACATGTAGACTAATTTTTGTTACCTGTTAACTGTGAAGGCTAGATCACTCAGAGCTTTTTTGCTATGGTACAGGTGGAGGATTCCATCATTGTTCTGGATCAAAGGGTGGAGGCTTCTGTGCTTATGCTGACATCACATTGGCAATCAAGGTAAAGTTACTTACCGCAGTAATTACTGGTATATAAAAAAAGGGTAAAAGCTAATTAGCCAGCAATTCAGTAACAAAGTTCAAAGCTAGCATTTTTCAATTTTGTCTTTCAAAACTTGAGACCTCCTTATAACTCTCCATTGTTGTAATCTGTAATGTTGTGATCTTCCCTTGTCTTATCTTGAGGGAGTTATGATCATACTGTGGCTGTAGAAAGTTCTGTTTGTGTCTCCTTCTCACCACTCCACCCCCCCCCCCCCCCCCCCCCCCGCCCCAATTACACTTTTCTTTTTTTTTGGTTATTCATCATTGCAATTGTTGTAGTGAATGCATTTAACTAACTTAAACTAAACAGAAAAAAAAACAATAAAAGAGAGTTACTTTTATACAGCAGGTGTGGATAAGAAAGCATTACTTCTTAAATAACACAAACCACAATAAATGTGAGTTACTTACAGTACTACAGCACAATTAATAACATGTTGGTAGGTGCCGAACTTTTGTAAAAAGAATATAGTTTTGGCACCAAAAAAGGCAATTTACAATTTTCTATGAACAAATATTCAAAACATGCCCTGTTTTTAGCATTAATAGGATAGCATTTTTTGAAAAACGGAAAAGGCACTGGTGAAGATGGTCCCAACAGTCTTCTTCTTCTTGACTTTCAGTTCCTTTTCAAACACATTGATGTTGTGTCAAAAGCCATGATTATTGATCTGGATGCACACCAGGTGACAATTATATTCTTTTGTCAAACAATCAAACACTGTAGTGTATGTAGTAACTTCATAGTAGTCTTTTACACGTGTGATCTATATCAAGGCAAATGCAAACGCAAAGGCAAGCACCAACACAAATAATGGAAAAAGTTTCATAATAATTGTACTTGCATTTACATTTCAAACCTGTGAACTGAGGCAACGCAGACACAAATGCAAATGCACTGCAGCAAGATTAGCTCAGTCAGTAGAGCACTTGACTGCAGAGCAGAAGGTTGCGGGTGCCATTCATGGGGCCAATACTGAGGGTTTTAAAATAACTGAGAAATGAAGGTACTCCCTTTGCAGTGCAAGTGGCTAGACCTTCACATGGCTTGGATGCCCACGTAAAATGGTCCCGTGTCCAGTTGGAGACGTACTTTTGTCCTAAATACATGGACACTCAAATAAAGTGCATTTTATTTAGGATAAAAAAAAAACGGTTCCTTCGGTTTCATGCCACCTTGGTGCAGCAAGGTTGGAAGCAAGATGGATTTATGGGAAAACTATTGCGTTATTTTGCAAAGTTATTATTTTTATAAAGATTGGTTTTTGCTGTAGTTGTAATCAGAAGTGCATTTATTAAAGTGATATAATTTAAAAGTGTGAGTTATTTGTTATTATTAAAGAGCTCATGGAAAAGTTGTTATATTCAATAAGGCGAATACCCCCAAAAAACCTTAGGGCCTACAACAAAACCCCTGCCAAAAATCCCTAGATTGAAAATTAACCCCCAAAAAATCCCTTGCTGAATTTCTGAGCCTTAAAAATTTCCAGAAGACATTCAAATGGTATAACAGAAAATAAAGTTTTCAAAAACAGGTTTGGTTGTACTCGGCGCTACAACACAAATCTTCAGATTGTTTTGAATACCCAAAAAAATCCTCACTTAAATCAATCCACCCAAAAAAATAGTTCCCAAAATTTCCTTCCCCCAAAAAATTCTCCAATCATCCCTGTCACTTGAAATCCAGAGTACCCCTCCTGGGGGCAGCAGTCCCCATTATCTTTCAAATAATTTATGTGCTGTCCATATCAAGTAACCAGGGTTACATGTAAAGTTATTGATTTTTAATATTTTTGAATATTAATATTAACAAATGTAATGTATTATTATACTCTTTTTTTACTCTGAAAAAACTCATCCTGTACCAGGGGAATGGTCATGAAGCTGATTTTGACAAGGATGAACAAGTGTTTATTATGGATGTCTATAATGCTTACATCTATCCAAGAGATATGAAAGTTAAAAGTGAGTCTGTCAAATCAAGTCAAGTTCCCCCAACAAAAAAATAATAAACGACTTTATTTATTAAAGTCAACCACCAAATTACAAACACAGAGGGGACCATGGACATTGTCCCGTTAACTTTGGAAAGTTTAATTTGTGATCACGATACCTGTACAGCAAGGACTAATTGATTTGCAGTTTTCAATTAACCTATTCACGATTTGACTGTAATTTTGTTGAGTATTATTCACTGTAACAAAAAGGTATGATAAATTTTTATTAGTTAAGCAATTTTACTTGTAATTACTTATGGCAGTAAAATGCCTTTGATAATATTTTTGGTTACAAATTTTTGGTGGGCGGACCTCCTTATTTTTTTTGGTTTGCGGTTTTCCTTAAATCTAAGAAGAGTAGACATAATTTTGCATGCAACTAAGTCCTTTATTGAAAATTTTTAATTGTGTTAATTGGTAGTTAACTAACAGAAAGAAATCTTTTCAGGTGCAATAAAGAAGAATATAGAGTTATGGCATGGCACAGATGATAAAACATACTTGCCTCTGTTACGGAAGTGAGTATAATCATTTTTCTCTTATTGCTCTTAAGCACAGAATCATACATGTACATCAGACAGTCACTTATATTAAGTTAATTATGTCGAAATATGTTGCTGTGGATGTAACAATAATTGAGAATGCATTTAAAAAATTTAATATTTAATAAAATAAAATAAATAATATTAATTGTGAATGTTGCCATTCCTTGTTCATTTCAGGCATATACCTGAAGCACTGGACAATTTTAAACCTGATATTATAGCATACAATGCTGGTGAGTGCTTCTACATTGAATAATTTGAGAGGCAAAACTCTGTTCTGAAAGTCAAGCTCACTGGTAATTTTTCTCAGTCTTTCATGATGTCTGATGCATACTCTTTGTCTATGCTCATAGTAAATGGATTTTTGCAACAAAAGGCAAGATTGAGACAACATTAACATTACTGGTGCTAGGATCAGAAATTATCAACCCTGCCTCCATTCCGTAGAACTCATTACTTGATGATGTTTTGATGGCCCTCTTATAGATAACAGCATGAACTGAATTAAAATTCCACAACAAATATCTCTACAGTCATTAAAAGCTCTCCGTGCGACCACCTTCGTAAGCGAGCAGCTCTAGTTACGACCACGTCACCTTTGTTAAACCCCGTTTGAAGTGTGACTTAAACTTTGTGATGAAAAGCACTTGTAAGCGAATGTGACTACTTTTGGGATTACCCAACTGGACTTTTCCTTTGTTTTTAAGCCCTCATTTAAGTGACCACTCATGGATATAAATCAACACTAATATTTAGATTTGGTGATATTTTGGTCTAAAAAATTGGACATAAAGTTTAGTCTCGTTTATATAACCAGATATAAAGACACTCATTAAACATTTATTTCTTTTGTTTTTTCTTTATGAATTTTTAATGAGTTTCTGAAGCTCTCGTAAGCAACCATTCTCTACTATTGTTTTACTATGCGGTCGCTTATAAGAGCTCATTTTCATTAGCAACCAGCTCTAGTTTTGACCAATTTCCGAGGTGGTTACCCTTAATAGTTGGTGACTTTTCATTGTGCACTTTTACCTGTCGATAACAACTGTACCCTTGGCATTAAAATGTAAGCAGTAACGGTTTAAACATACATTGTACAGTGTACATATGCCATGGATCCCTTCTTTTTTTCTTTACAGGAACTGATGTTCTTGAAGGTGACCCTTTGGGAAATTTGTCAATAACACCTCAGGTATGCTTTGTTTTTTCAATAATCTTCTACATTTAGATGATTCTATCCTTTTTTAATAATACATATATCATCATTCTGCTTTACTCTTCATGCCTGTCATGGTCAAACATTCATTGGAAGTATCGCTGCACTATCCACTCGATAAATATTTTTTTAGTCTATCTGGTAAATTGCTCTGGTCTAGTGTCCCAGTACCTTTCATATAAAAGTAGTAGTGAGAAGTTGTTGAAGTATCAGCTTATTATATCTTGTGTGATAATGTCCTTAATTCTCATCACCAATCTGTTTTATAAAGCATTGATATCACAAGGAGAATTTTGATACTGATCAATCTTAGGGATTAAAGGGTTAAATAGCTTCATTTAGGCTGATGCAGTGTTAAATGCAAAAACAACTGAAGCACTAACCAGCACTTACACAGAGGAAGTTACTGGAGTGTTGTTTTCACTTTCTCAAATAAGGGAATTATAGAAAGAGATCAGATTGTATTTCAAGAGGCTCGGAAAAGGAACATACCAATCTTCATGTTGACTTCAGGAGGATATCAGGTAATTAATGTTGTTGATTTCTGTCAAAAATAGTAATTTGTTGCTTTGCAGATTTATATGGCAAAAGTCTTGTACAAATTGGTTGACTTTAAGTGTGATCAATATAGATCTTTTTCTTACATATGTATTTATTTGTTTGTAAGCGTTGAAAAAAAGGGGCAAAACAACAAGTTTTCAAAAATTTATTCACTGAAAACTCTGTAAGTGCTATTTCATTTTGATCCCTTTTTCAGTGTTTTTTTTTTTCCCCAAGATTTTCCAGAAACGTTTTGCATGAATAGTAAGTGATAACATTTTTGTTGTCTCCAAATTTTGAAAGTTTTGGCAGGTGGTTTATGTTTCCTTTCTTGTTTGTTTTAATAATAAAACTCATCACAGAGACGGACAGCCAGGATCATTGCAGACTCAATCCTTAACTTGCAAAAAGAGGGACTGATTTCCTGTAATTATTCAGACTCAGGTGAGTTTGTAAACTGCAAATAAACCATTCAACCTTTGTTGTTTCTGTAACAACAGATGTGCTGTGCTGAGGCTTGCATGATCCAATGCAAGGATTAGCAAGGCACTCAGTACCCAGCCTTCTGTGCAGGAGAGGTTGAGTGTAATTCCTAGAGGTCACCTTAAATTCTCATTTCAGATTTTTTTAAAACAATTTTCTTTACCGTGTAGCTTTACGTAGCTTTAAATACTTGTAAAAGAGGTTCTGTTGAAGAGTGTGGGAGGGCAGAGAGGGGCTGTTTAAAATAATAAGCGCACTGTCAGCCTCAAGTTGTGTACCGGCTTGAGTTACCGTGGTAAAAATTAATAGTGACCTTTACCTGAATTGTTTATGGCCCATTTCCTGGCAGGAATGTTATTTCAAGAGAAGAGTACACAAATAAATTCAGAAAAAGCCTAAAAGTGGAGGTCCTGTTAACTTCAAACCATTCACTGGGCAAGAAAACTAAGTCGATCTGACTTGGTCTTGTGGAAACTATTGTTGTTTAGATATTGTTCTGTGATGTGGGTATTATTCAGTGTCTTTTCATTCTTTTTTATTACGTCATTAATGGTGATTGCACCCATCCTCAAAACCAAGACACTACCAGATTAATGGCTAAATACACACTTCATTCTATCCATTTTTTGGAAGCCTCCCTGGGTGGAGGACACAGAAAGGGGCTGTGTGGAGAGAAGAAATTAGCCTCTGAGCAAGTTGTGGGATGCTCCCAGGGGAACTGAAGGTGGAATTCAAGTTTCAGAGACGTAATTACAAGCTCTCCTTCCTTTTCCTGTCCCAGAGAGCTTTTCTCACGGGCTAAGAAGAAATGGGAAGAGGCCCCCTTCCCCTCCCTTCTCATTGTGGATTTTGTCTTATTTTCTGTCTATTCATGTTCATCAGGACCAAGAGGAAACAGATGCAAGAGTGACAATAAGCAAACAACATACAACACTTTCCATCATAATCTGTAATTAATACTGTGGTATCCATAACCGTTTAAAGTGTTTTGTTTCCTTGCCTTGTCAGTAGGTAAGAGTAGATCATAATCTGTAATTAATACTGTGTTATCCATAACCATTTTAGCCTGCGAAAAAGTGTTTTCCTTTCCTTGCCTGAGGTCAGTAAGTAAGAGGAGATCGGTCTGGGACAAAGTGACAGTGTTTTCAAACTTGATGATGCAAATCAATGTTTCAAAATAAACGGGCTAGTCATGGGGTTCCAAATAAAAATTTGAGAGATTAGTCATTCATGTGTTATTCTTTTCCAAATTTTGGAGGATCCAAGTGTTGTGTATGATCTCAGTGATCTTGGTCCAGCAAAACTCAAATGGTTCTATCTCGGAGAATTCAATATTCACCAAATATTGACTGGATTTTGTTAGAGATTCTTTTCCCGTTTTTTTTTTGAGAACGATCTTTTTGTCGACTTTTAGGTCTGTCTTTTTTTTTTGACTTGGAAGGATTCAATAGCTAAAACAATGTAGGAGTTTTGTGCTCGATGGATTGTTTACCAATCCGTGTATTCGCGTGAACCGTTTCTGAACAGATTTTTTTGGCTCAAAAATCGAAGTTTATTTATGACAAACAAATTTAAAAGGAAATGTTTGCAGAAATTCTACATTTCAAGTAAACAGGAAAAAGAATGATACAGGAAGACGACCTCTTACCTCGAGCAACCGAGCCGCCATTTTGTCAGCACTTCATGTGAAGAACGACACAACATGCCCTTTTTGGCTATAAACTTGGCGAGTCAACAGAAAACATTTAAAGTGTTTTTTTTCTCCTTAAGGAAACAGTTCAAACTTTTAGGATTCCATTGAAGCCATTACGCTGTTAGAAATGAGTAAAGAATTGCCATGTTTGTTCAAATTTTTAAAGTGAATGATTTGATCTGTCAATCAAATCCTACTTTTGAATGGTTAGCATGTATTTAATTAGAAAGAGATGGAAACAATTAGTCATTCGGTGAATGCTTTTATTAAATATTTTTCCAAAAAGTGGAGGATCCATTGAGTAATGGAAAACGAAATGCTTCATACCTTATGGTATAATGGTAATACTATATTTATTTATTGTTGTTAAGTGTCCTTAGCTATAAGTACTATAGGAAGTATTAATAATACTTACATGTACATGGACATTGTGAGGAAATCCTGGTACCCATGTTTTAAAGCTTAGATAAAGTGAATAATGGATTTCATGTAAAAACTCAACGTCATGTTAAATAATTATGTGCATAAAAGATTAAAAGCTGTCTTCCTCAGCAACACATGGCCACTCCATCAAAGCACAAAAAAACTTGATGACAAAAAGTGAGTTTTCAAGCACAGGTCGCGTTCAAAATGGGAACCTTCCTTGCTTCTTTGAGAATGAAAAGCTCTTTTATGTGAAAAAAATGTAAGGAGGATTTATCAAGTTTTTTGAAAAGATTGACAATAATAGACTCTGAGTAGTCCACTTTTTTCCTCAGAGATAGTAGAGCAAGCGAAACACGAGCGTGCATGAAAATCACCCCATGCGAGAAAGGCTAGACGCGGAGGTGAGGTGAGGTGAGGTCATTTTTCTCTCTCACCGCCGCGTCTCACCTTTCTCAGGTGCGGTGATTTTCATGCGCGCTCCCATTTCACTTGCTCTACTATTCCCGAGGAAAAATGGGGACTACTAGTCTTGTAGTCTAGACACTTAAGTCAACAATCTAATTTAGTGTTTACTCACTGAACTTATATAAACCAAGAAGAAATTAATGAAGACTACAGTGTACAAAGCATCTCTAACAATTTACATAAAATTAAATTCCAAGTTAATGAAAGGACACAATGCAAATGTCCTCTGCATGCTCTTAATTTATGCAGGTGAACTAAACAAAATAAAAGTTGTGGCGTGAATAACTGTTTTGCAGAGTTCATGCAAAATTTCAATTTTTGTATTTTTTGTTTACAGGTTCTCAAAGAACCACAGCCATAGATTGATTATCAGTACCAAATTTAAGTTTCATAAGATTTGTAGCAAACTAATGGAAAAATGGGCCTCCAAACAGGTCAATGTATGGTGTGGGGCTAAGACTGCCCTTATGCCATACATTTCCAACCAATAATATATCTTGTTAACAGGGGCGGATCCAGGATTTTTTTTAGGAGGGGGTGCACCACATAGTTTTTTTTTTTTTTGGCAGAATACCAGTTGTATTAGAAAACCGCAAGTCATTTCGGGGGGGGGTGCGCACCCCCTGCACCCTCCCCCTAGATCCGCCCCTGGTTAAGGCCCCTCATCTATATTAGTTTACAACAAATCTCCATGAACATTCACAGTTTTTCTAAATTTGACCCAAAGCGGTGTTTTTAGCTAGGTCTATAGTAAAAATTATGGCATCTACGAAACCTGTTACGGGCAAGCCATGATTGTAAATGGGGGTGGTAGGCCTGCAGATCAGGCTTTATAAACTCCTCAGAAACTAGCTAGCCCAAAGCACAAGTGATTTTGTAAATTTTCATCTCCAGGCTATAAAAATCAAGAAATATTTGCAAACTGTTTTTTTTTGTTTTTTCGCTTTCTGAAAGGTATAACATAGATCAAGGTAGGGTAAAGCAACTAAGAAACAAGCTATAAGTAGTCAAAATATTAAGGAAATTAGATTAACTAGAGTAATTACCAAATGACAACAAAGTACAGCAAGCATAATACTCTTTTAATTAGACAAATGAACAGCATACATCAACTTCAATGTACAGTACATTCATTAAAATTCTGAAGACTAATAAAATTCCTTTAAACTTCAATGCTTTGTGAAAATAAAGTCCTTGTCTTCAAGCCATCTCCTTGGTTGCATTCTATTAGCAAATGCCTACAAGCCATTCTCAAACTTATAATAACATTAATATGTGCAAGTCCATCGGTAAAACACCGCTTTATTATGAAAGTTCAACTGAAAAACATAAATTTTCATCTGCTTGTTGTATTAAACTGCATGAAGTATGCTGCCGTTGGATTGTTAGTGTAAACTTCTTTGTCAAGATATTCCATTCTGCAATGAAGCAAGGAAAAATTATGAATTTGCTGTCAACCATTGGAAAGTCAAAGACATACTTTGGCCCAATAAGTCCAATTCTGAAAGAGGATTTTGGAAAGTGTACTGTTCATGGCTTCCTTTGAGTTAATTCATACATGTAAAGTACACCTACTAAATCTTGCAAACACTCCAAACCCATGTTTTGTAAGCTTTGGGAAACAAAGGGTACTAAAGAGCAGGGGAAAGCTAAATAAAAGAAACCAAGTGATGGAATGATAAACTTTTGAAAGATTTAATTATTTCTTGAATTTTCCGATATTTGAATGAGAAAAGAATTAATGAATTATAATAAATTTATTACAACTTACTTGGCTCTTTGTTCTGCTGAAAGTCTCCTGTTCTCATCAGCCTGGTCCACTTCAATCTCTTTCTTCTTTCTTTCAATGCTTCGCTCAGCGAGGATTCCTGCTTTGGCTTGTGTTAACCTTAACCTGTTGTATTCTTTCTCTTGTTCTTCTTCTTGTTGTTTAAGTCTCTGCAGAAAGTGAAAAAGGAAAGGTCAGACAGAAGAAATTCTCAGTCCTAACATATACTCAGTTCTTTTAGCAGGATGTTTAATCCTTCTGTTATTGGCAGCAACTTAATTTACGGTATTTACTAACAGCACACAGTATTGGGGGCCTGTTTGGTTAACCATGCTGAGATTAACTCTAAAAATTTCTTATTTTCCGTTTTCATTATTGTTGACTACATGACCCTGTATTACAATATATGGCTTACACATACTTTGCAAATAAAAAGAGTGCTTGGATCAGATTCTTTGGATCAGACCATTCTTATCCCAAAATGTGATCAATCATTATGCAGTGTTCTCTAAAATTTAGCCCAGGCAAGAAATATGCACCAGAGGCACACTTTCCTTGGGGGAGGGGGTTAGTGGAGTGAGGGACATGGCCTCGCCCTCCCTGGGAAGTTTAGGAGCTTAGTTCTCTGCAACATCATTCCATCAATTTTAAAAACCTATTTTGCGCAAATTGGTCATTGTTATCTTATCTTTAGACAACAATTTTTAACAATTATTGGACGAGTTTGAGCAAAATATCGAGATTTGTCTGTAGCGAGCAGATCAATTATTAATTGATCTGTGAGAGGCTGCTGACAAATCACAATATTTTGCGATAACCAAGTTCAATAATTGTTTTATCATTGGATCACCGACTTTGTTTTAAATTTTTAATGTATATCCTCCAGAAGCAAAGCGATCTGCCATTTTCACACAAGAGTGATCGCAAGAAGGAGAAAAGCACAGTTTCCTTTACGCATGTGCAGAATATTATTTGCAGCCAAACACAGTTGGACAGCATTGTGCATGAGCAGACGATTATTTGTAAGCAGTTATTTACAGGTCACGTGGTAGGCTCTTGGCCAGTGAAAGAAATAAAAAGTTGCTTCGAATGATAACTTAAAATGCTTGAATCCAATAATTTTACTCTGTCTTCAATCGTGGCCCATGAAAAGAACAGCTGTGTACACTTAATACTTTTCCAAAAAATTATTCATTTTCCTTGTGAGAATCGAATCGGATCACAACTTCCTTTTTTTAAAATATATTCTTTTGTCCAAGGCACATAATTCAAGCCACAGGAAAAAGACACATGCGCAGCCATGATCACATCAATTAGCACTTTCACTGATAGCATATCCTTTAACTTATTGTAAGAGATATTTATTTACCTGTTTCTCTTCAATCTGAGCCTGTTGAATGTGCCTTATTTCAGCAAGTTGTGCTGGACTCATCCCCTTCCAGCGATCCGTTATTACCCTGTGGGGGCCAAAAGCACTCTGAGCAACATCAGGATTTTCTGTAAGCATGTCACCAAACACATGATTAGAAATCTCAGTAAAATTGTCATCTTGCTCCTGTTGTCTTTCACTATCCTCCTTGGCCTTTCTTTCTCTAGCCAATGCTTCATTCATGTCCTTTGTTGCCATGTTTATTGCCCGCCGACAATCAGCTTCAGCACTCGCAAGTTCGCAAGCCCTTTGATCCATTTCTCTGGCTTTTAGATCATATAAATGATCTGCATACTTCTGATTTGCATCTGCTTGATTCTTTTCATTTGTTTGCTGCTTAACCCATTCTCTGTGAATAAAAGGTTGGTTCAAATAAAGGGGTAAATTAAACCATACAGGATCAGTCTACCATTTATTAGTGAATTATAATTAGGGGAGGGGGCCGGGGCTTATAAACTTTCTAGTGAATAATAGTTAGGGGAGCGGGGCCTTATTAACTTTCTACCCCTGAAAAAGGGGGGAGGCTTAATAGAGGAGTGATGGTATATTGTTCAGAGAAAATTGATGTTGTTAACAGCTGATGCTCAAAGGTAATATTGACTTAATCTGTTGCCATGCCAACTCTATGCTCTGTTAACAGTTAACCCAGAATTTCTGGGCCTGAACTAGGCTTTGAATGACTCTGGAATATAGTATTGGATATTACTGGCAAGGATAGCCTCAGCCCTGAGTGGATGTGTTTGTTGATTCTTTCTTTGTTGCTTATTTTAAGAGATTCAATTTACTATCATTTTAATCATTTCAAACCAGTTCAATTTTTATGTTTATTTTTTTGTGCTAGATTAGTCTGCTCCACAGCCGTTCTTTGTGTCATCATGTAACGCTCCTCCCCACAAATGGCCACTGAGATCCAAACCACATTCCTTTCCCTTTCACTGTTTGTGGTCTAAAGGAATATGGATCGGTTCTCAGCAGCCACTTGTGGGGACGAGCATTGTGTGACGAGACAAAGAATTGGCAATGAAGCCAGACAAGTCCCAGATAAATCACACAGAGGAAAATAAAAAATTATTCATTACCTTGTTTGAAAAATAATTAAAACACAACAAATTAAAACTCACCGTGCTTGCTCTTGTTGTAGTTTTGATCTTGCCTTGCCATTCAGATCTTCTCCAACAAACTTTTGCAGTGATGACACACCGCAACGAGGGTCATCATCTGATACCCTGGCTGGCTTATCTTTCTTCAAAGCATCAGGATCATTGAGATCAAACTCACGTCTACCGTCTGGCTGTTGGTGCGACTGGCGAAATTCGTTAACCGCTTTGTTCAGCTCACGGATGTCATGTTCTTGACGCCTTTGAAGGAGCACAGCAATTTTGTCATTTCTCGTCAAGTCAGCAGCTGTTTAAGACGAAATAGAGAAGTTATATTCAGAAATGTTGTTGAAGTCAGTGTTCTTTCAGTCTATAACAAGGCTGTGATTAAGTTTTGAAACAGCCATAACAAATGAAGATTCACCCGTAACATCTCTCAAAAATTTATAGTGCCACCATTAGCTTTCCACTTTGATCACCCGTGACATCAAGTGAGCTCATCCGTAACAGGTGATACGGGTTACAGCCCTTAATGACAGCTCTGTATGATGTAATTTTTATTTAATTGTGTTATTTAATACACCAACAAACATTGAATAGAATCAAACAACTCGGAACTCCTTTAAGCTTACCAAAAAGTAAGTATAGATTTTATATCTTTCAGTAATGTAAGTGGTCCCAGTGCAAGGAACAGAAGCAACAACCAGAGATATGTCTGCACTGGTATATAGCCACCGGATGACTCCCTCTAAAGTTAATGGCTAGACTAGCATGAGTCGGACTGACAGTACCTGTTCTCATCAAATGAATGAGGGCTTGTTTTCAGATTGACTGCTTTCTGGAGCATGCAGACTTATTTTCACAGACCAGCCAATAGAGGGGCCCATGAACTTTTGCTCAGTTACAAGCAAATTGACCTTCGGGCAATCAAAGCAATCAAGTCATAATAGAAATTTTGTACAATCATGCTGTTTGTAAGTTCATGCAGCAGTAGCTCTAGCTGTTGCTTCTCTCAGGGTTAACTTATTGTCTCACTTTAATTTAGAACAACATAAAATAAAATGCTACAGTCAGGAATACACATAATATTTCACTTCACAAGTTAAAAGGTTCCCTCAAAACCTTTAAACAACTCAAACTCATCGATTAATAAGTCCTTCCAAGACCTGCATGAAGAACATAAAACAATTATATGTTATATGTTGTATTTCATGTCTCCTTCTACCATTCTGTTAATTGACTTGTCCGTTAAGTTTAATGGCTGAGAGTTTGAACTACAGGTTTTGATCTTTAAGCACGAAAGGTTGTAACTCTCTAATGTTCACCAGCTTTGCTAGCTGAGGCTAAAAATGTTTTATATTTACTTCAAAATATTTCCTTATTGCCAGGAGTAACTATCATGAGTAACTTACCAAAAGCATTATGGCGTCTTTGCTCTTCAACTTCCCGTCTATTTCGGTCTGTCACTTGATCATTTAATGATTGTAAGTCAATCTAGAGGACCAAAAGATGTGTTAATGAATGAACAAATCTTTCGTAGAGTATTTTCTTGTCTTTCGATTTATTGTAGTTATAGGTGGGTTACCAAGCTAACTTATCTTGCGAAATTGAGAAATTTACGCCCGTTATAGTAAGCGGTACAGCTTTCAAAAGTGTGCCTAAGAATCATGCAATTGTTCTCTTACGAGGGCTGTAACAAATTTTCTCAGTTTTCAGTCTAAAACTTAATATATCATAGGTTAAAAGAAGCAAGACCTCTCCTTACCCCAATGGTTCGAACTCTTGCGTTGAAAATTCGACTTTGTCGCTGTAGTTCTCGGTTACGTCGCCGTTCTATGGCGGCGGTCTCCTTCATATCGATAGGAAGATCGAGCTTATACATTTTCTTTTCGTACTAAAGGTTTAGTTCGTGTTGTAAGATGTTAAATGCTCTGTTTGAAGGCTGTTTCTACTGTAAACTGATGAGTTGCTGCTTTCCTTTTGTACCATACGAGTTCCTTGCTTTGCACGGTTGCTAAGGAAACTCTGAATCCCCATCATGCATTGCAGTATTTGTAACTCGTCTCAATCGCCGATGCGTCAACGGTCTGGAAAGGACTTGGGGCACTGGGCACAATAAATTTTGGGGGGATATTTTATTCACAGCGCTAAAACTATATTCGCATGAATTTTCTAAAGCGCTAATAGAAACTGGCAAACTCAAACACATAAACAACAGTAGACGCAGAGAAGGCAAAAACAAAACACCGCAATCACTGTACAAGAATATGGTTCATTGGGCCATGAAATAACTAATAACACTCCGGACAGCTGAAGGAAGAGTTTTCCACATCTCCCGTAAAACTGAAAATTGGCTTTACAGAGGTTATCTCCTGAGATCACATGCTTTCCAGACTATTGTAGGAGTCGTTAGAATTTGAATTTTTATAAGTGGATGTGTAGGAATTAAAAATAATATGTCCTAGCTTATGATGCTGCCTTGTAGAAAGATAGAAGGTAAAAAGAACTTGCGTTTGTGTAGTGTCTTGTACTGTTTGTTCTGTTCCTGGATCCTTTTTTTCGAAACCGTACAAATTTCGCGAGGTTTTTTTTCCCCCTCCGAAAATTCCATAATTATCGTATATAGCTTTGCCCTTTCGGTACTGAAGCTTGAGGCTCACGATCTCTCGTAAGTTTTCCCGGAACCTCCACACCTGCCACACGCCTTTTGTGAATTTTTTAAAGATGCTGGAACAATTTTTAGGGTCCTTTTCCGAGTTCTTTTAGGACCTGAAGAACACAAAAACTAGAAGAAAGTTACTTGCACTTATTACACAGAACGTATACCCTCCTTTTATCAACAAAAGAAAATTTTCTCCCCCCTCACCCTAGTCTGCTTCACAGTTCCTCTTTCTTTCTTTCTTTTTTTTTTTTTTTTTGTTTTTATTTTGTGGTTTTTTTTGGGGGGGGGCGGGTTTCGGCCGGCTGCAGACGCGCAATGAGAAAATTGTTGAAAACGTAGGCTCCATAAATCCTTGACTGTCAATCAATCTAGTTTGAGTCTTTAAGGACTCCAACTGATACTTCTATTAAATAGAAAAGCCTCCAATACAATTGAGCTAAAAATTCCTTACCCAAATTTCTGTTTTATATTACACGTCTAAATTCTTTTACACATTTTTCTTTGTTTCCTTCAGCAGCAATATAGAATTATAACAGTAACATCTACATCATTCTTCAAACTAACCGCAGTTGTTATTAAAAACAATGATTCATCAGTTCAAATCGTAAAATACTTTTAACGGGACCTTCACATTCTTGTATTGTTTAACCTTCTTCACGGGAAAAGCTTAAAAAGTTGTTTAAAAATATTTTGGTTCAGTTTTCTCTAGACATCCTACCATTCGGACGGCCATATATATGTGTTTCTACCATTTTTATCTTTTTAATATTATCAATAGTATTATTACCACTATCATTATTTTTTATCATCTTTGTATGAATGCAATGAGCTTTCCTCACAGCGAAACTATAAGGTAAATAACTCCTCAAATACAGACTCAAATACAGAATATACTAGCAACGAGTTAGGGGAAATTTTCTTCTTGTTTTCTTCTTTTTTGTTCAGGCTACTGTCGTTTCTTAGATATACCAATTCAGTATTAATTTTTCACGTGTAATTTGCGTTTTATAGGGGTTAACAAAACCTTTGGTTTTATTTCGATCTTGATTGTGCAGCTGCAATCTCCCTTCCGCCGCTATGAATTTCAATCGATGAATCTTAACGCAGGGAAACGTAAGATCCTAGCTTAGGAAGCAGTGTTCGTGGATTCAAATGGATGATCGTTGAAATTTTACTTCCATTGCCAAATTTTTCCATATGTTTGCCTAAGCGTGAGGCACAGTGGAGATTTGCATATCTCTTATTGACTTTATTGACTCTCCTTTGAAATTCAAATTGTGTTGCAATAGCAGTGTGTCAAAATCGTCCAATCGGAAACAATGCCGAAACACCTAAACGCAAGTCTCGGACGTCTTTTTGAGCGAGGATTTGTCCGATAGTCGAAGAAGAAACAGAAAAAACAGGTGAAAGAGATAAAGTTCTCGAGACACGTCCTTCATGGTCTAAAGCGCCCTCTTAGCTCTTACAATAAAAATGAGCTTCTGTACGTTTTCTCCACATGGCGCTTATTTCCTCGTATTCTGCACTGCGATTCTATTCTCCGCGAGTAAACCTATGGCTTGTAAGTATAAAGACAACGATTTTGTTTCTTTATTTGCGGTTAATATTCGCAACACATTAGCGAAATAGTTGGATTAATCTACTCACCGCAAATCGTTGTGATTTTACGACTTTTCGTATTCGTTTATGCCGATTCTGATTATGAAAATGTCGATTTTTAAGAATCGACAATAATGCGAAATACGAAAGAAATTGAGATGTAATAAATCCGAGCCGTGGGGGATATTTGTATGAAACTGTCCCTTGAGCGGCCATTCTCAACTTAGGTTTGGTAGCTATTAAAGTAAGGCGCTAAATTGGATACAGTCTCGCTAAAAATATTTCATTTCTTTGTCAACCGGGATTAACACAAGAAATTAAAGCGACTTTTGAATCTACGTTGATGTTGCTACAACAGATGTTTTTATGCACGCGTGAAAATTATTTATCTTCCAATAGCTCGCTTCTTTTCAGTATCGAAAAAAGTTTGAATATCTTTAATATTCCTTTCGAATTGTCTTGAAGTAACGAAGCTGATTTTGTCTAGCATTGTTGTGAATTATAATCAACACTTTTGAATGGATATGAGTTTGCAGAATAACGGGAAATCGAATACAGCATCCCTGACCTAATTTCACTTTGCGTTATGCATTATTGATGAACCGATTGCGAAGTGACCTAAGCTGGTACTCGCACGTTTTTTGGTGCTTAAAGTACTGGGCGACTTTCTTTATTTTCAAAAACGAGCGCTGTTGTAACAAAAACTTGCAATTCGTACAATCTGACACAAAGTATTTCATATCAAATTCAAGAATCGGCACACAGCGCTCTTCCCATTTAAGAGATGGTGCAGAAATAAAATCTTGAAAAGCCTGACGGCAGTGAGGGTTTATTCAGTTTGAAGTCCTGAATGCTTACCTAACCTTACCTAGGATTTTTTATTTTCCTGTATTTTATCAATTTGCTTTATTTACGACAAAACTAAGCTTTAGCTGAGAGATTTTTATTTTTATTTTATTATAAATATATTTTTTATTTTAAACAATATTTAGCCAGAGGTGTCCAGTTTAGCGAGGCTGGTTTGAAATAGGGCCCCGATGAAAAGAAAAACAACACAAAAAATAATAACAGATTAAAAAAAATGGAACAACTAAGCATAGCGAAAGTATTGGAGGCTCAATTTGGCGTGGATCTTAAGTGCCTTTTTAGGCCAAGCCCAAACTTATTTAAATTATGCTGGCTCCTCAGGGCCAGAGGAAGCGTGTTCCAGATCTTGGCTCACCGCTGAACCTGAAGAATCCCTGGTACTTAGTTGTCCGAGCTAGCGGCAGACTGAGCAAATCGCTATGGCGCGTGTTGCATGAAAGGAAATCGCGTGCGTGGCTAATTTCATCTAGTAAATATGCTGGAGCCAGGCCATGAAGGCTAGTATGCTCTTTAGATAGTCCCGGCGCAACTGGAGCGAAGGCCAACCGAAAGTGTGAGATATTTGCGATTGTGCGACTGTGTAGCCTTTTATAATACTGGCTACTGGCGGCACCGTGACGCCTATGCAACTTATCCAAGTACTCTCGGTCAGCCTTACTGCAGGAGTCTCATACGACAGCGTAGTAGTCGAATACTGGAATTATCATGGCGTTATAAAGTGTTAAACACGACTCACGTGGAATGACCTTGCGCGCTTTACGAAGCATGCCGAGCTTTGCCGAAAATATCAACTGCGAAAATATAAACTAGCTAGGACAAGCCTCTGATGTGTACCAGTCAACATTACCTTAATTTTGCTATAGTTAAGTAGAGGAAGCTAGTTATCATTAACCCACTCTATTATATGCATAAGATCTTCGGATAGCATATATTCTCTGAGGGATTTTATGGAAAAATGAAAATTCAATAGAAAGAGAAGAGGAAGAGTGCAAAAAGTAATTTAAAAATTGGGAAAAGTTTTTAAGTCTAAGTACATATCAAACTTTTCTAAAAAAAAGTTCATCTATCTATCTATCAGTTATTAAATATTGTGACAGCTTAGTTTATTAAAAAATGCCATGGACAATTTATTGCAAATCGTGACAGGTATTATAAATGGCGATGATTATGTGACAGGTTTTTTTATTTAAAAGAGCAACACGGTTTATTACAAACTGGGACAGTTATTAGAAACAGCGATGTTTGTGTAAAATTGCGACAGCTTTTCTATTATAAAGTGCAACACATTATTTTGAAAATTGCGACAGGTGTTGCAAAGTTCGATGGATTTAGTAGAAATTGTGATAGCCATTACAAACACAGTCCGACGAATAGTCCGTCCAGTTCTTATCTCGGCCAGCGCCATTGCAAAAAGCGAAGATCGCTGCTCGATGTTCCCGTGCATCTGATGGCCTACGAGCGGAGTAACTTTGCAAAGAAAAATAAGAGACTATTCACAGTGTACGATTATAATTACAAATTGCAACATGCCGTACAGAAAATACACGTACATTTGTTCTGGTACGATAAAGTGAGAATTAATTTTAAAACCCTTTTGCTCGATTGAACCGAGTGATATCATCCTTTTCTTAATGAAGAACACTGAATAAAGTCCGAACCGCCGACCAAAATTATGTGGTCCTCTAATTAAACGTCCTGTGGATAGAAGGTTTATGACATATGATGATTAATTGCTTAACTAAAAATTAATAGCAAAAAAAAAAAGACTAAATAGATACGGGGCAAGAAGCCTAAAAATCAGCAGACATTTCGCTACACCATCACTGGTTTACCGGCGAAATGACGTCTGAGTACGGAGCGCTGAAATTCCATACCAATGAACTGTCACTACTCAGATTTTAGTTTGTGTTTCTGATTGGTTGAAAATTTGCCTTTAAAATGTCGGCCTATTTTCTCAGGCTACGGGACAAGTGCCCATGATGAAAAGCTGCAGTGCTGCTTTGGTAAAAAGGAATGCAAGACAAAAATACTTGCATGGTGTTCGAGCGATTTTCGTATGGCCTTTAAATGAAAACGCACGAAAAAAGGGAAACAAACGAGCGGAAACAGAGCGATTTGATTGGTTTATCGAACGGATACAAACGCGCGTGGCTTTTGGTTGGTTAAGCGAACACTCAAGTGAAAAAACTTCAAGCTCGAGAACTTTCTAGAAATCTGTCGATACTTCGCTTTGACGTCATACTGTAACACGACTGGCCAATCAAACAAATGCTTTCTCCATACTAGGGTTTTCTTTGGCGGGAAAACAAAGATTCCATGTTTTGATCTTTTCATCCATTGGCTGATAGAACAAATAATGAACACTTACCAAAACCATTTTTCAAGGTCATACGAAAATCGCTCTATTATTTTAATTTATCAAGCGAATTTTTCACCGTGAAGAGAACTAAGCGCCGACGTTTCGATCGCTGTCAAGTTGAAGAGATGTTATATCTTTTTTCAATTCAATTCTCTCTAGACGCCGCTTGCTCCAACGAATTTCAACAAGACTGTGACGATGGTGAAATCGAGAGAGCACATCATGTTGTGAGGCGCTCTGCCGGAGCTGTAAGTTAACTGATCAATATATGTCTTACAACTGGGACTACCTTCCCTTTAATTAATTTTATTGTTCACTGAAAATATATCTCCGTGGCTGACTGGCCTTAATCCTCCCGCCAAATCTTCATAACCCGCTGGCGATGACCAAATTTGGAAGATGCTCTCAGATTATGCCATCACTGACGCCAGTCAATCAGACGATAATGATTGAATATTGCCAGTTATCCACCAATCTAGAGCTCACCATTAGCCCCCATGTGGCTCTGCTGGAGGGCCAAGCTGGCAGTTTGGAAAATCAAGTCACACGAAAAACTATTAGGTCATTCCCATATTAGTATTTTCGAGACTGTCTCGGTTATTAGTCGGAACACCGAGTAGAAATAGAAGCAATTAAAAGAAAAGGGGAGTACTAATTAAGAGCGCAAGAGTACTAATTAAGAGCGCTCTCTATACTCTTCCTGAATCTGTGTTTGTTTTTTAATTATTATTTTTTTTATTTATTTATTTTCGTTTAACGCTCCCTTTTCTTAATTTTCTTAATTTTCAACTGAGAGCCTGAAATAGGCTATTCCCAATATTGTAGAAACCGAACAACGAATGCCAAAGCTAGTGTTTGTTCGTTTGTTTTTTGTTGTGGTTGTTTTTGCTAACTATGTTTAGAAAGTAAGACCTCACGCAGACCTTACGAATTTTAGTAACGGTCCACGCAAGCAAGTAGCAGCAGGTTGTTTGAAAAAAAATTAAAACTTTAAAACAAACATTTCGGGTGTAATACTCGTGGAATACCAGTGTTGTTATTAATTTCAAGTGTTGTGATTGTTATTGATTTCATGGCATTCCTTTTGTAGTCCAGCAATGTATCAAGATCTCTCCAAGTAGTCTTCCTCCCAGTCGTACAAAATGTCACCTACTACAACACTGGAGAACAGATAACATTCCAGCTGAACTTGACACATAATCAGTCACAGTCTCCCGACTTGACAAAGAACCTCAAGGTTGTCCTTTGGTCCCAGTTTCTCACGCCAAACTCCTCCCTGCAAACACTCGCGGGCAGTGTCAAAAATGTTGACTACAACGCAACCTCTATTTCTTTTGATATCGACAGCCTTCTCGCTGCACACACGGTGTCCATTAGTTTCCAGGGTACTGTGACAGCTGGTATTTACCCCCTGGCAAATCTGTATTTTACAGCGCTGATCAACGGTCAAGACATAAGCGACAGCAATTACCATTACGGACCAGTCCCTTCGCAACCCACGCAGTATGCTGTGTTCCCAAAGGTATCATTTAACAGAAATTCGTACTCCGGTAAGTAAAGTGGGAAAAATACATGATCATCATATTTATTTAGGGAACTAACAGTTTTGTTTAGTTGCCGTTTGTTGAATCACAAAATCTCTAACCCTAACCGAGGGCCCTGTAGCTTCGTCCCCAGGGCCCAGGCCAGTTCGCGCTATGCAAATGAGAGGGTGAGGCTTGAAACCAAGTGCGAAAGCACGAGTCTACTGCCAAGCTTGACTGGTGACGTCATATACGACCTCGCTGAAGATGACTGTAAACGAAGCTGGGTGACAGTTTCTGCCGAAAGAACAACCATAATACTTCACTCCCTAGCCTGCACAAGCGTGCGCGAGCCTGCGCCACAAACGAAACTAAACTCTGGTTAAGTCCGTCTCCAAAACAGCGCAGAAATCCTTGGTCTGGGCCCTCCACCAGTGTACCCGGATTTGAGCACGCGCAATGATTGGCTTGTTAAAAATGCCATTGTCGATTTTCCAGTCAGCATGGAAGAAAATTCGAAACTCACTTCTTGTGATTTCGTTGAGTCCATTAGGGGCACAGAACGAGGATCTCGACGCAGCTCCGCCGACGTTACTAGCCGAGGTTAAAATTACGTCCGCAACGCAAGCTATTGACTCCCTTAAATCATTATTTTTCATCCATGTAACTTGAAATATTTCTAACTGAATTCTACTTGATCCTTATTGTTAATTTGCAGACTTATGGGTTGGAAATGTGACCGGTTATACCATGACCATCACCATGCCAAAACTAAACTTTTCTCTGCTCGTTGAAATAACTACGAACATAAACGACTTTTCCTTCATGGAAGTTCATAATGTGCAGGTGACGAACGTGGGAAATGACATCAAGTTCAACCCCAGTCCCCATGCTGATGTTTCTTACGACTCTAGTGAGGAAGTACCTTTCAATGACCGCGCCGTTCTGGACTTCGGAAATTTAACTGTAAGTACGAATACTGCTTCACTGAATGATGAAAACTGGGTTTACAGCGAACTAATATTCTGGATTAGTAAGTAAAAGAAACTGAAATAAGGAGTAAAGACCACCACCGTTTTTAACGTGTGTGAGTAACTGTGCAATCAAATCTAATTAATTTTAATTTAGGCACGTAGTACCTATAAGAGAACTTACTAAACATGTTTTAATATCTTTACTTTGGACCTAATTCTGATTCCTGATTGCCGAAAAAAATAAAAGATACAAATTTTTTCTTAATGCTGGAATTACAAAAACTACAAGAGGAAGCTAAGCCATATAGCACTTCATACTTAATTAAATAGTTGAAATCATTTTGAGATCTGTTTTGTTCTTTTTATTGTTACTGTTGTTTTTGTGTTGCCTCATTTATTTTTGTTCTCGCTTTTTATTTGCTGGTCCGTGTGTGAAAAGGTGCATTTTATGTATAGTTTCCATTTTGTTATAATAGGACGCTCATAATTTATTTATCGCCTTTGAAGGTTACGGTTTTTCTGCTGTGTTGAATAGGTCCCAATAACCCCTTATATACGGCTGATATTTGAAATCTAGTTTTAGTATCGATTATATTTTCTGAACACAGCGGAAGTTTCTTTTTCTATAAAACCTTGAAGAACCATAAGGAACAAAATTTTCTTATGAATACTCATCTTCCTCCCAAATCTGTCCCTTCATAAATTAAAAAAAGTCACCTTCTCGGATCCCTATATTAGAAACCTAAATATGCCCGTACTGACTGAGGCTTATTGTTTTGTCCCTAAGATTTCTGGCAATGACGAATCCACAAGAAAGATCGTTATCGAATTCAACGTCACGATCAAAGATAACCCTCAGTTGGCCAACGCCACTAAACATTGGGTAGGAGCAGGCATGCGCAGTGGTTATCAGATGCTGTGGGTGGGACAAGAGGCTTTGTATGTGTACAAGGTGAGGTCAACTGCTTCTTGATCTTCTAGAATCTTGAAGCAAAGGCGTTTTCACTGAAACGCTGGAGCCTGCGTTTTTGATGCAGGTTTTTGGTCTTCGACCGTTTTTGCCTTGAAAATTTGTAGAATTATTGGCTCCTGGAAAATATATTAATAGTTTTCTCTTATTGCACGCCAGACAGACAGTTAACAGCGACATCTTGAATTGGTATCCATAGCCAGTTTTTTATTCTCAACTCTTAATTTCACTGCAGAAGGGTTATTCTGGGGCATTTGGAGCACCAAAGGGATGTTAGAAAGGGATGATACATTAAAGAGCCGCGGTTGAACTGACTGCCAGAAAATCGCGCATACTGTCTCATAATTGTCCTTAACTTAAAAAACGCTCCACATAAATCAAAAGCAAGATAGTCGAGGCCATTAACAATCGTTTCAAAAAGCTTAACCCAATTCAGAACGAGGGGGGGTGGAAGGGGGGCTTTTGAGAGCCCCCTCATTAGAGATAACTTAACGACTTTCGCTAAAATTTATCTGGAAACATTGATGTGTTCGTCAAAATCGATGTTACCATGGCAACCGTGTTTTGACATCAAGGAGACCTTCGAAGCCTTCCCCCCTGGACCCGGTTCCTGAAAGGCCGATTAGCGCTAATTTCAGGATTAAAGTTTTGATCCACTTTTTTTATTTACCTTCCTATGCATTGGTTAGAGAAACATTTCACGTAAATCGTTACTGTGTCTCAGAGTAAAGTCTCAACAGTATTTTGTAAGCTTGAGCTACATGCTCTTAGCAAGACAATCGTGCTTAAAATTTGGCTTAATCCTAGGTTAAACTTAACCATCTTTCTAGGAACGCGGGCCTGGTCGCAGAAAGCCAAAAAATCTTGGTTTGCATAGGGTAAAAGCTATTATCTGAAATAATCGTTTCAAACCATGTACCTTTGTTTTTTCACGAACAGAATGAGCCATCACTAACAGCAAATTTTACAACCCGCAACATCACTGCAATGAAGAAATACCTGGTTGGCGACAGGCTGTTCGTAGACTGGCTGGTTAGTCATACTTCCAACACCTCGTATGAAAGCGCAAAAAACGTAAGAATCACATTCTACTCCAACACGCTGAAGATCTTGAATGGAACCTATAATACTCCAAATAACTCAGGAAATAGTCTAACAGTGAACAACAAGTTTCGTTCGGGTGAAATCAATGTCGCCACGCTTGCGCAAGGTAGGTGGAAAATATCAGAGGTAGCAGAATATTTTGTTACATATAATACCTAAGAAGTTGCGTAAGACATGTTCCATCGATTTCAGCATTCTCGGCTTAATCAGAGGTTGTTTATCATTTCCATTGCCAATGGAATTTCCGTTAGGAAAATTCTGTCCGAAAAAACAGGACTATATTTGAGATGTTTCTTTGCTCTCGCTGGAAAGACTTAAAAAGTCATGTTCCATTTTGTTTTTCCAAACGAATTGTCCGGAAAATTTCTGTAAATGGTAAACAACCAGAATCTTGGATATAAACCAAAGTGACAGGCATTTTGATTTGCATGACGCCTCAGAAGGACTCGTGTGTTTCATGAGCAACTTACAGTATCTTTAACTAGTATGTATCAATTCCCATAATTTTAGGAGAGCAAATAACTGGAAATCTAGCCCTAGAAGTCAGCGATGAAATCTCTCCTTTGGAAGATCTGGATATCTTCCTAGAGCTAAAATATCAGAATACAGAAGGACAAGAAAAGCTCAACACTACCCATAAGCCTTCACCACCTTACGTGGCTGGGGTACCAGGCTTTTCGCTCAGAGCTAACGTCTCGTCCAATCTAATTCGCATTGGAGAACGCGCGAAGTTTTACTTTGATATTCTAATGAGAAGAATGGTGTCGACTTTGAAGGTAGAGGTAAGAGAAGAAACGACATTATTTGTATTAAATGGAGTCTGCAAGAACAAACGCAAAATTTTGTGACAACAACAGCCTATTTTTAACAAAAAAACCGAGTTTTGGGGGGGGGGGGCAGATTAGATTATTTGGCCTAATTGTCAAGTATACCAATTAAAAAATGCATCATGTATGAAGATTTCACCTACCATTGACGTAGATTGTTCAAATATCGTCAAAAGATCTACCGCAAGTTTTCCGTGACAAGCCTTTTGACGATTTTCCTATGATACGATTTATAAAACATATTTTGTTGATGGCATGGCAGCGTTTTCACAATGTTTTCACTAACATCAAAGATGACAATATGATATCGTTTTTATTCGTTTTTTTTTCTCTTATTCAGCCTTAGTCACAAATCCCATTTCTACATTATTGCAGGTTATCCTCCCGGTACATGAAACATCAATCATGTCTCTTACTTGTTTAAAAGTCCTCTCAGTGGGGACAAATATAGCCAACCATAACGAAAAAAAGGCGGCATCGGTAGAACTCAACTCTACGGTCGGAGACCCAAAGCTTTACGACCGCGCGACGATCGACTTCGGCCTTGTGGAAAATAGTAAAGGAGACTCCGACAGCCAAGATAACAAGATCATGCTAGAGTTCGAGATCATTGTGAATGACCACGCAAACGTGACAAATGGCTCCAAGCACTGGGTGGGTGTTGGAGTCCGTGGCGGGAAGCGCATGATGTGGATTGGTGACGTAGCGCTGATTGCCGATGTTCCCGACGATAGAAGACCAGTTTTACAGGTCTTAGCAAATTGCTATAACCCTGTCACTAATAAGTCCTGTAATGACGATGCCTCTCTAGCAAGAAGGTAACTTTCTTATTCAACCCGAAATCTGTCCATAACAATCAAACGTCTATTTTACAAATGCGCGTAAGTCTTAAACTGAAGAGAGTCCGCTGTTTTTAACATATATAGCCCCACAACTGCGAGGTTTTGCTTCGCTGGTTTATGTTACTTACTTCACTTAATATTTTGCGCCATGTTCTCGGTAACCAACTAATACATTCGCCTACTATCGCTGACTTCCGCGAGGGACGGTTTCAAGAATCGTCACTCTTTCCGAGGAGTTACCGTTACCGCTAGTAATTCTAGCAAGCCAGTTAGCCTCACAGGGCATATGTTCCTCGGCGCTGTATATCTCAGTTCAGTTCAGTTCAGTTTATTCACACTTGTATATAATATTTGTGAAATATTTTACAGCAACTGAGCGAATTCCTAGCGCGCTGATTGATCAAGAGCTTTGGTCTATAAGAGTGTAGACCATGGCAAATCTTGGTCGATTTGTTCAACAGATAAGAGAAAAAAAGGAAAGAAATAAATAAATGGCTTTGATAGAAGTGTAAGGTTGTCCTCTTTAACAGTCGGTGCCATTTTAAAAGACTTGTAGGGGAGTAAGAGCAGAGGCGGGTATTCTTGTGGGAATGTTTTGGATTGTTATTGAAAGTGTATCCACAAACCAGAATCGATATCTTTTTTGTCACATTGTAAAAAGTTAATCGGGCTCATTGCATTGAAAATTTTCCTCAGCTCGAAAGTCCATTTCAACGGAACGGTGAAACACGACGAGACATCGCAGAGATATGCCGACAAGGTCAATGTGTTTTGGATGATTCCGCCATATGTCAAGTTTTCCAGGCTGGATCATGACCCGGCAAATATGACGTACCAAGACACACCACAAGGACCCAAGTTTAGCGTGAGTATATTTTATAAAACTATTATTATTATCATTATCATTTTCATTAATTATTAATCATTATTATTATTATTATTATTATTATTATCATTTTGTTTAGAAGCTATTAGAGTGTATTCACATGACGTCACGGCGGCCATATTGGTGTTCCAAAACAATGAAACGGCGGCCATGTTGGTGTACCAAGACAACCCTGCGGGAATTGAACTCTGTTCTTATGTAAAAACGTTCTTTTGTTCGTATAAATCAGCATAGATACTGGCCACGTGAGTAAATGGGCTCTATAAGCAGTCCTCAAGAATGAAAAAAAAAAAAAATCCGAAGAAATGGCTGAGTTCGATCCACTTTCAGAAACGAATAACTATAAAAACGATTAACACTTAAAATTATTAATGCGCACAAAAATCTTTTGACCAATTTTTGGTTTGAAGGCAGAGGAGGGAAACAAGTCGCGAATGAATAAAAGACCTTATAACTGAATAAAACTCACC